GCTTATAAACAAGCTCAAGTTTAGGCAAATCGTGGTTATTAATTGAACAATGTTGATAAAATTTTGTGTCTTTGTATTCATTTAAAGCTACAATTTTTTTTAAGAAGAAAAAAATCTTGTTATGGTAAAAAAGTGACCTATGGTGCACCAAGCATTGGTTTAGAGAAACCTTAACCTCAGGGTGTTCACTAGCAATGAAATCCTGAGGGTCATTTTGACCAAGTTTTTGCAATTAAAAGGTCAAATCCCCATGATTTTAACAAAATTTGACCCTTCAGTTAAAATCCTGAGGGTCAAATCAGGCCTTTTGGAAATTTGAAGGGTCAAAGTGTCATTTCAAGGGTCAAACGGACACCCTGATTACCTTTTACCTCATGAGCATATTGTGAAAAATGGCCGTTTTCATTGAAAAGCCTCCTGTTACAAGTTTAAACTGCTATGAAACTATGAAAAATGTTCAATACTGATGAAACTTGGCACAAATGTTGACTGGACCATAGCTTCTGTAACAGCATGCTCAATCGTAAATTTCCTGTTACCGTCGCAAAGGGGAGATGTCTCAAAATTGCCAAAAATCACTATTTTGCATTGGTTTTTTTCCCATTAAAACTGATTTCAAAGTGCTTCAACTTCTCAATGGATTGAAATAGAGTAAAAGGCTTTTCAGCATTGGTTACTAGTTACACTAAGATCGAACTAAGGCCATTTTTAGCCTGTCACGTGTCCAAAATTTTCTTTCGCGATGAGGGGGTCTGCCACCCCCCCCCCTTCAAACCCGCCAAACAGAAGGGGGCACATCCCCCTTCTGGCAACCCCTTGATGTACCATTTTGATGGGGCTGGCGCCGAAATAATGATCACTTTTTTAAACAACATTTCTCAAACGAAAAAACAGTGTGTTGGGCCTAAATAGGGCATTTTTTCACTGTTTGAGACCTCAAAAAAAGGGGGGTGCGAAAAGCCTTCAAAACACGTCTATATAAGGTAAAAGGTTAACTACAGTAAACGTCATGCTTGTTTTTAATGAAACTATTTCCAGTAGATTAGTAATGAACAGAAGCATTAACTTTCATAAGATGCATAATCAGTTGTTGTATTTGTATAACATTTATTACCATTTTGAGCCTAGCATTAGTCAAACCGCTCTATGTCATATAACTCTGAGAGGCAAACAGTTTGACTCTTAAAATCCCTATTTTTTATACTAATCTCATATTCAAAAATTTAATCTCAGTTGGCCCTGTTAGGTATCCTTCCCATTATCTTAAATAGGAAACTGTTTGACAAATTAATAAAATAAAGTAACATTAAGTTCCGATAATCAGAATCTATCTGTCTTTATTTTCTGACAAACCACTTTTAAGGATGTACACAGTCTATATGTCAAACTGGGAAAAGTAAGGGGTAAGTTAAAAATTAAAAGCAGTGTTATGGTGAGATAAAAACTTAATTTAGATTGTCCAGTACTCTTTTAATCTAAGTTTGACATACAAAAACTCTACAAATGTAATTACCTCTGCCTTTACACAGTCGCTGCAGTGTTTTCCAATCTTTTGTGAATGGGTCTGGGGCCCTTTGAAGTACTGTATATAAATGCCATTACTTGTGGATAAAGTCCTATATTAAATATATTTAGGTAAAATGGTTTGTCAGTAAGTAATATAACAAACTATAAATGAACTAACATTAAATGAAAGAGAAACTACAATACTTTGTTGCATGAAGAGGAAAATAATAATTTTCAAAAAAAAAGAAGAGAACTTTAAACTGGAGCCAAAAGAAGCTCGAGTCTGACAGCAGAAACAAGAAGTTTTCTCTTGTAAAAAATTCTCGAATAACTACCGAAAATTGCTTAGTCACTAGTGTGACGTGCTTGTACATTTCACTACTCATTTATATGACTATTTAAATCAGGACCTATTTTGCATCATTAGAATATATTAATGTCTACTTTTGTGTAGATATTTTAAATGATATACCTTTTATTATTTATGTAGAAACAGCTTACAGAAGCAATGGATGACACTGGAGGAGCAGAATGGCAAAATCAGGAGACATTCCTCCTGCCTTGATTACATATTTTCATCCTCATGTTGGTTATTTTCCCTCTCCGTGATAACTAAAAGATTTTAGCTTGTTCACACTCTTTTACCCCTAATCAGAAATGGCACAGACCGCATTCCCCTATCAAATGGAAAAAAAATGGATATTTTGACTTGTAATTTAACAAAATGAAGACATACATTGTAAATGTAGTTCTGAAGTAAAACAACATTATAGTACGAGAATTATTATGACAGTACATTATACATTCAATTTGTATGTAGTAACTTCATCACATTTTCACATGCTTTAACCGTTTAGCGGCTAGAACTTGAATTTTAAATGTATGTGTACAATGTATTTACAACAGTAGGGAAGTTTTAAAAAAATGGAACCACTTTAAACATATGGATGCTTATTTTTCACATCATATTTACAAACATTTATACTTAAAACTATAAATATGCTTAAAGAATCATATATTCAATATCATTTCATATTCCAGTAAGTTCTAACCGATATTCCAGTCATGTTTGCAGATAATGGGATTGTGAGTTTGTGTGATGCCTACAGGCCTAGACATTAACTTTTGAATCAGGTTGTCCTGTCGGGCAAGTAGTTTTTAAAACTACTTGCCCTGACCTAAGACTTACTTGTCCTGACCTAGTTCTGGCTTCCAAAACTTTATAAGCCGCTTTTTAACATTTTTGTTTTTCATCAGATGTGGCATATATATAAACGGGTACGCTGAAGACCTTAAGCTAGTCCTGACCTAAAAATGGTAAAAATGTATAAATCAGAAAAACAAACAAGCTCATACATTAATACTTCTTGTATTAGGTAATGTTAACATAAGGCAATAAACTGGACATATTGTTTATGAAATTGATTGTTAGTTAGACACAAATATTTTTTGTATTTAGTAGTTTTTCTAAAACATCGGTTCATCTGTTTAATCAATGTGAATATACTACGGTCATGAACATTTGTTGATATAGGAAACTGAAGGAAAAATATGAGCATGCGCCGCGGTAAGGTAATTCCCCGTTCAATCATCAAGTCAACAGCCGTAAACGAGTCTTCGTTGACTAAGTTCATAATGTTGTTATATTAGATTAAACAATAAATCATTTTAAATGCAAAAACTTTATTTAACAATTATATTTAAAGATCAATATGATTATTTACATATTTTCAATGATATCTTTACATGCAAACATCAAAATTTAAACAACAGCATAACCCGGGAATTACCTTGTACAAAATTAGATATAGTCTATTAATAGAATGGGGAATTACCTTACCGCGGCGCATGCTCATATTTTTGCTTCCGTTTCCTATATCAACAAATGTACATGACCGTAGTATATTCACATTATTGATAATGATTCATGGTGTATTTTTGTTTTAAAGATGTTTATAAATGAAAAGATGTTATTTCTATTCATTTTGTACATGCATTTTGTCAATGATGCTTTTTATTTTCACTTGCCCTGTCGGACAAGTGCTTTTCAAAATAACTTGCCCGGACCAAACTTTTAGTTGTCCCGGGCAGTCGGACAACCGTTAATGTCGAGCCCTGGCCTATATAAATTTTGTAGGCAGCAAAAATGTAAATTATGGGCTATTTATATTTTCAAACTTTTGCTTTAATTGCTAAAATCAAGGTCAAGGTTTTACATGTATGTTCAAGCTTGCTGTCTCAATTTCCAGCAATTAGCTGACTTAGTTACATTTTTGACTACATATGTTTCTTTACAGGTCTGATGGATAATGATGACAATTGTTCTAGATTTGTTAATAGAGTGATGACAGATTCTTTCCAAAAGGTATGATGTTAATGTTATAATGTAATACCATCATATTCTAGATCGTAGACTAAAGCTTGATGCTTTTGTGAATTTGTAATTTTAATGCTTTTAGTTGCATATTTATTTTCCATTTTTTAACACTCGTAATGCAATTTTCCCCTCTTCATAGGCCCTGCCACTGTTTAAAGAAATTAAAGTGAAAAGCACTGTCTAAGAATTTAAAAACCTTAACTTTTAATTGAAACTATTCCTTTCACCACCATGATTTTATATATGTAATAAGTTACTCTATATTACACATGTATGTACTTATCTAAATTAAAATGTAAGCAAGGAAAACAACACATCACAACCGGTTTAATGAATGAAAAATTATTTTCTCCTGCTTTTGGTTATGCAATGAAACCCACATCAGGAATATTTATCTTATTGAGATATCTTTTTATAAAATAAACTATAAAATGATTAGTTGGTGACAATGTCATTTTTGATAAAAAAATAATACATTTCTATGTTGGTATAGTTGATGAATTCAAATGCAGTCCATCGTTGGAACACAGAGATTCAGGAAGGCATTAACAACATGTTACAGTTACTGATAGATCTTGTGGCAGCCAGACTTAGTCATCAACCAGTACATTTGCATCTTATGGACATCCTTGGAATGGTAATATCCTAAACATATACATGTATAGCGGTCCATTTGTACTTTTGTGTTCATGTCTTGAAATGTCTGTAAATTTGTTCAAATATTATTTTTGGAATATCAAAAATGTTTTAATTATAAGTAACAATTAAGTTAATTCTTGACCTTTAGCATGGTAATTTTAAGTATGAATTGTCCTTAAAAAATCGTGAGAAATTTATTTTCATAGTTCCGAAAATGCTGAAATCATCTTGTAATCACTGAAAAATTTCAGTAATGACACATAGACTCTAAGCTGGCCTGGTCATGCTAGGTAGTCATCTCTGCTAGCCTGAACATGCTAGACAGTAATGGATGGTCTGTTCAGGCCAGATAGTCATTTAGGCTAGCCTGAATTTGCTAGACAGACATTTTGAATTTCTTGGTGACTCAGATAGTCAACTTTGCTAGCCTAAACATCCTAGACAGGCATTTTGGTCTTTTCAGGCTAGATAGACAACTATGCTGGTCTGGACAGGTAAGTATAATGAATGTAGGCTGGCCTTATTAGACAAGGCACACATTTTGGTTGGCCATGTCAGGTAAAGCAGACATCCAGGCTGGCCTGACTATACTGGTAGTATAGACAAATCACAAATCATTATCATAGCTTGGTTTTAGAAAAAATAATGATGATAAATTATAAATTGCTTTTATTATTTTATTAAGGCATTCAACCAGAGACAGAATTTCATTACAAGAACAAGAGTCGAAGAGATCGTACAGCGTGGAAGAAAAGTTTGAAGGGGAGTACCATTTTCTAAAGTTGAAAATAGCAACTTCAAAGACCCCTATGGATGGCTTACATGTCTTATTAACAGGGTAAATAATGCTACAAAGCTATCAAGGGTTCAGTTTTACGATTTTATAATACAGTTAATCTTTTGAGAGAGAGAAAAAAGCAGGAGTATGATTTTGAACACGTTGTCCTTTTATTATGTAGACATGAAAAAAGAAATTCATGTGTTTGTTTCTAAAATAATATAGCAGTCATTTTTTAAAGAAATTTGTTTACGGTTTAATACACATGATATTACTACAGACTATAACCTTTCGTTAAGCTAAAGAGACTTAGCAAACAGTTTATTAGTCCCCTACCGGTTTACCGGAGGGGACTTGGGGACTTTAGGTTTACCCTCCGTCCGTCTGTCCGTCCGTCCGTCTGTCCGTCCGTCAGTCCGTCCGTCCACAAAACTGGATCCCGCGATAACACAAAAAGTACTGAAAATATTTTAATGAAACTTGATATATGGATAGATGGCAGTATGGAGATTATGCACGTCTTTTTCTTTTCTTCCTATGTTGAAAATTCTGGTTGCTATGGCAACAAATAGACTGAAAATATGGCAAATTTTACACATAACCTGGATCCCGCAATAATGCAAAAAGTACTGAAAATATTTTTATGAAACTTGATATATGGATAGATGGCAGTATGGAGATTATGCACGTCTTTTTCTTTTCTTCCTATGTTGAAAATTCTGGTTGCTATGGCAACAAATAGACTGAAAATATGGCAAATTTTACACATAACCTGGATCCAGTGATAACACAAAAAGTACTGAAAATATGTTTATGAAACTTGACATATGGGTATATGGCAGTATGGAAATTATGCACATCCTTTTCTTATCTTCCTATGTTGAAAATTCTGGTTGCTATGGCAACAAATAGACTGAATTTCAAGATTTCTGATTCTAGTTTTTAAGTTTTTTCACTATAAGTTCTTTATTTCTTAAGGTATTTTCTTCAAACTTTAAATATAAGTTGCTTGTAATCAACCACATCATATGTGACAAGGTTTACAACTCTAGCACAAAATTTATCAGAATTACCTCCCTTGAACTTAAAATTTTCATGAAAAAACATTGTTTTTTTTTTTAATAACTTCTTTTTCTGAATGTATCTACTTCAAACTTCATATAAATGTTTCTTATTATCACTCAACATTTGTGAGTGTTCAATACTCTAGCAAGACTATTTCCAGAATTATGCCCCTTTTGAACTTTTTTTTTGAGAAATTGGTAATTTTTACTCCAACTTCTTCAATCATGATAGGATTTTAAAAATGTTATATTTTGATAACAGGGATGTTTAAAAACTAACTTTAGAGTGTCCTTCAGTCCGTCTGTCTGTACATAAAAACTGTTTCCTGTGATCACTTTTAAAGAACTTTTTCAACAAATTTACTTAAAATAGGAACATAAGTGAATGGCCAATGGCCCTTCAGAATGTTGCTTGGGCTGTTACCGGTAGGGGACTTATGGATTGCTTGCAATACTATGATAATTGCTTGTTTTAGCATTGATTGACCTATTCTTTAGCATAACATCAATAATCATAAAAGTGATACATTAATAAGGTTATGGAAACAAGAACTTGTTTTTGTTATGCCTATATTTAATACGCTTACCCATGTGAAAAGTGTTTTACACTGTGACATCATTATTTGAGAAAATAATATGCCAGCCAGGTCCAAAAAACCCTTCTTTGTAGAGGCCAAATATAGGCTGCTTCACCAACCAAACAAGCCTCTTTTTCCCCCAGTTTGGCCCTCAAAATTCCCCAGTCTTTTGAAATTTCCCATAGAATTTAGAACAAAATTAATGCCTTATTAGTATTTCCCAGTGCTTTTTGCTTTTCTATTTTGAAGAACCCCTTTTCCCAAAGTATGCCAAAATCACGCACATTTTCCCCAAGAAAAAGGCTGAGGCCCCTTCCCCAAAAATGGGGGTTTTGGCCCTGCCAGTGATCATTGCATTAGTTGAACTGCATATATTATCATAATATTTGTATTTTCAGTTTGCCATGAAAGGAGGATTTGATCATATTAAAAAGATTTTGGAGTCAGAAGAACTTGATGCCCCAGTAAGGATATGTTTTTGTTTATTGCTTTAGTACAATGCCCTGTATAATAACAATGGTTTGATTGTAAACAGGTATAATTGTTTATAAGAAGATACTAGTTTAGATCTATGAATCCAATGCCTAGAAACACATTCACTTCCTGTGATAACAAAAAGTGATACAAGTTGAAGTTGAATTGCTTAAGATTGCAATAGATCATACAGTGATCATAAGTACAGTATCACAATAACCCATTCACATTTAATTCACTTCATGTGATCACAAAAAAAAGAAAGATACTAGTTGAATTATATAAGCATGTAATACATGGTATGTGGAACAGAAGCTTGTAACTACCCATACACATTGATTTATATAACATGGGGTAAATGATAAGTGACAATGAATTATGTAGTATGAAATTCATATTATAAATCCGGGGTATTGGTTGATTCGTTAAGCATCCAGTTAGGAGTTTTCTAATTTTCAAATCTTAGGCATTCACCTACGAGTGTTCCATTGACTTGCAACCAATCTTGGTTTTCTTCAAATAACACTACATATAATTTCCCTGTTTAGGTCTCTACATATAGTGACATAGGATATATGGCTGTTGCAAATTACCATCAACAAAGTTGTCACTCAATTTAGTAATGTTTGATATGCCTACACCTAAAATTTGAACAGTCAATTTTGTGCAGATCAGTTGACACTTTAAATGTTTTATATTGTTGATTTGACTGCTTATAATATTTTTTTCAAAAATAGAGTATATCACAGCTCTTCTAATAAAATGACATAACTACTTGAAATATTTTAACACATTCAGCATTATTATTGAAAATCACATTAAAATTATCTTTATTGATCAAATGTTTTTGACATATGATAAAAATTGTGGTTGTGTTCTCTTTAATTATAGGTTTAAGGACTTGAACTCATTTGAGATTTTAATGTCGTAAATTTCTTGGTTTCAGTTTTGCATGCAACATCAGTCTTTAAAACAACACAGGATATTTTATAACTTAAAACTCAATGCATGTCTTCATGATCATAATACGAGGTAAAACTGTTGTAGCCTCATAGGCCTGTAACTCATGACATGAATGAAATATGAGCCTTTGTGAACACAGAAAATTCTTTGACTCATAACTATGTCTTGTATTTATTTGAATCAAATCTTAATTTTAGGTTGAGAAATTTGTTTGACTTATTACTATGCCATGTATTTATTTGATTTGAATCAAATATTATTCTTAGTTACTTCCTACAATATCCAAGGTTCTTTGTTTTACTATCAAGCACTGAGAAAAGTTGAAAAGTCAAATGTGACGTCCTACTGACAGCACATGTATGATAATAAGTAAGAATATTTATAAGCATTTGATGAATAATTGTATATATTTATAGGCAATTGCAGCATTGTTGAAACCTTTGGGAGTTTGTGCAGAGTTTCTTGATAAGGAAATAATGAAGTCTTTACTTACAAATGGAATGGAGCTTTCAATCAAATATGTTCAAAATCTTGCTGAAAAAGACTTCAAGGAAAAGGTAGAAACTTTGTGTTTTGAAAATTGGCTGTTTGATAAATTTTTATTACATGTATTTTTTTGGTCTATAATGTATATAATTGTGTTTTTGAAACATTTTACAGAAAATTAGAAGAACTTTTAGATTTTCCTTACTTAGAAAGTCTTGTTTATATCTAGAATAAATTCTACCTTTGGCAATGAACTTCACTATGAATTATACTTAGCCACTATTTTGAATTGTTGAAAGTTAGTGAAAATTTATGTTGATAATTGAATGTCTTTTAGCAATCTATGTATCTGCAACTTATCAACATAGAAAAATGAAAAGTAAAGTTTTGCCATCTACTTGTTTAGTTTATATGTATTTCATTAAAAATTTTGCATAACTTTGGTGGGGCTTCTGTGGCGGAGTGGTTAAAGATCCTGTAACACAATTTGTTTATGGTTTTAAATCATAAATATGTTGCTCAAATTAAGATTGATCAATATTGTAGATTCCAAAAAGCATTATTTATAAAGATATTAACGAATTTAACATTTCATGTAAATAAAGGGAGGTAATAAAATTATTTACTATAAAGATTAAGTCAAATTTTACAATAAGAAATGAATGCATATATTTAATGATTACATATAATATGCACAAATATTTGCAGTACATATTGTACATATTCTTCGATGTTTGAAAATTGCTTTATTTGCATAATTGTGGACATATATTTATAATTTCACTTAGTGTGGTTTACCACTTTGATTACAACATAAGGATCTTTAAGGTCGTTGACTTCAGATCACTTGCCCCTCACCGCTGTTGGTTCGAATTCCAACAGGGACTTTTGATTCTTTCATGAAAGGAAGCTATCCACCTAGCTTACGGAACATTGGTGGTTCTACTCAGGTTCCCATTTGTGCCAGAAATAATGCACGGAAAGGCACCTGAGGTCTTCCTTCATCAGTAAAGCTGGAACATCACCAAATGACCTATACTGTGTCGGTGTGACGTAAAGCCCCCCCCAAAAAAAAGCATTATTTTGGTACAGTTTATAACATGTAAGAGGCTGTAAAAGATTTGTAATTTGTTAAATACCCGGTATTGATATTCTATATAAGAGTTTAGCAAGAAGCTTAATATAGTTCAAGTAAAACCTTTGAACATTTTTAAAATGTTTCAAAATATTTATAACTGGAATTTAAACCTTTTTGTTTTCGAGTTTTTGTGCATGAATTTTTTTATTTACAGAAAGTTGGCAGCGTCTCAGACCTTCTTGCGTCAATGAAGTTATTGTGTATGAATATTTGGCCAAATGATGTTGAGGCTTTAGATGACCTGAGACTGGATATTGCACTACGAATGTTGAAGTCCCCACACTTTAACGCTAAAATGAATTCTTTGAAGGAGGTTTGTTTTGATGATTTGTTTATATTTTGATTATTGTAACATTTTGAAACTGTTTTAACTCATACCATACAATAGAGGAGATAAACTATTTGCCACCCAGGGTTGTTGGTTTTTTTGGTCCTCTTTGAAGTTACTTCAAGTGAAAGGAGGCTTTCATCAAGCCAAAATATATAAAAAAAAGTTCAAAAGTTCTTTTTTCATTCCCACAAGCAGGTTTTGTTATTTTAAAATTCTCAATAAAGACAATAGGTTACTGCAACTCAGCTTTCCCAACTCCACAGGTGGTGAATTCAGACCTGAATTAATTGGGTAGGGGGAATACAATGTTTAAGCACTAAAAATGTTGAATAAAAACATTTCGCAGGTTCTATGTATGTTGAATTATTGTTTGGCAACGACAGTATTGAAATGCTTGTATGACAGTTGAACACAGTTAAGCTATACATGTACTTGATTATATGTTTCATGAGTGGTAATATAAAATACTTTTTAATGTAAAGGTAACAAAGTTGATTGAAGATTCTACGAGTGCAAAGAATCCACGTCAAAAGACTGCAATCCCAGCCAACAAAATTCAAGAATGGTTAGTGGAGAATAAAGTGCTCTCAATTGCTCTAGAAGGTAACAATTCTATATAAGTATTTTTATTGGGTCCACTTTTTGAAGGAAATAAGGGAAGCTATTATCATTGCCTTCCCATTTTCTCAGGTACTATAAATGTATTTGATACATGTTAATAATCCTTATTATCCAGCACTGAGAAAAGTGGAGCACGTTGTTGGCAGACAGGTCTTGTTGAACTTTTCAGGGACTTCCCTGGTCTTGTGTGTCTCTAATTACTAAGGCCTTGAATCTTGTCAGAGACACGCATTCTTTCATGTGAGGAACTATCAAACTAGCTTACCAAAGATTGATGGTCTTATCTAGGTACCTGAAATGATTCATGGTGTAGCACCTTCACCAGTAAAGCTGTAAAGTTGCCATTTGAGCTTTACAGTGTTAATGAGACTGGAAACAATAAAAAGATTGAACTTCAGAATAAATTGATTAGAATTGATGTTTTTGCAATTTTCGATTTTTGAAAAATGAAATGCTGTTTAATGCACTGAATGGGTCTGTGCTGCATGGTGACTGTGTCTTTAAAACTTTAGTAACAATATAACCAAGTTATCATAAGAAATAGCTTGTAAGATGATTGCCATGTTAGTAGAATTCAGTGAAAATGATGCAGAAACTTTACCATTCTCATTAATTTGATGTCCATAGTTATGAAAACAGTGAAAAGAACAATAGTTGAACAAAATACTACATCATAGTATATTGTTTTTACAGGAAACATTGATCAAGCTCAGTACTGTGATAAGATTAAAGGTATCGTAGATTTTCTTGGCACAGATCTCTCTTCTGATGAACTAACCATGATCTGGAAAATGCAGGTAAGTATTACTGTAAAGATTTCATTTCTCTATCATTAGTTAATGGGATATATTTTGTTTAAAGCTGCACGCCTAAAGATAGAAGAACAATGTATCCATAAAAAGTATTAAAAAGAATTTTAAAGAAAGATAGTGGGGTTTTTATGTGGAAAAAATTGATGAAAACTCATACTATATAACTTAGAACTCTTATCAACATTTTTTTCAAGAAATATCTTATTATAGTTATAAGAGTATCTCCAATTTATAAAATTCTATATTGTTTTTTTATCAATATTTGATAAACTGCTGGAAAATGTGCAAATTGCAAGTGTAGACCAATCCACTTTAATGTTCTGATGATTTATTTACCCATGCTGCTCTTTAGTTAAAAATATTACTTATATGATTTAAAATCTCTATGATATTACATTACTGTATAAAAATTCTTAATATTTTCAGTTATCTCAAACCAACAATGTAATAGACAACATCCACTCTATCATAGCTGCGGCAGCTGTCAAGTTTGATCCTAACCAGCTAGAGCATCTGTTACTCCTTATACAAAAGGTAAGCTTAACATAAAACCTGAAATGTTTGTCTTCACTCTTACTATGCTAAATATGTTAAATAGACTTTCAGCTTTCATTACAGATTAAACCATTTATCATTTACAGGGAAAATTTTCAAGATATTTACTGACTGAAAAGTGAAAAATGAAGGCCATAATATTTCAACACAGATTTGCCTGTTGATCTTGGTCTGCACTGGTAGAGTCAGTTGCCATAAGCAGAACAAGATTTAAGTTAGCATGAATGGATTCTTGCATTGCTTTTAATAAGTTGCGCTTTTTCTATAAATGAAATTAACAACATATAATGAACTTATATTCTCCTGAATTCAGCTTTTCTAAGAATATTTTAACTATCTAACTTATGAGGCTTTCGTCTTTAACATAACAAAATTGGTTTAGGTTTTGTGAACAACTTTTGTATCTCATTAATGGCTGACTATATTCACATTAAACTTAACACTTGTATTGACAGCTTGGTGTGAAAGGGTTGTAACTCCTTAATTTAATATGAGTTACAACCCTTTCGCACCAAGCCCTCACGCCGACTCGCTATGTACATGTTGGGTCATATTTTGAGGCTCAAGATCCTTAACTCTAGGATGGATTTTATTGATTTATTTCGATTTAGTGACCAAGAAAATTTCTGCATGGCCCTTGTTTCAGTGTGAAGCAATAGGAATAGGTAATCATGATGCACATGAATCAGCTTTCATCTATTTGAACTGTTTATGTTTGATTTTTTTACCAGAAATGGCAAGAAGAAAATGACAAATCAAGAGAAAAACTACTCAGTCTTATTGGCAAGATTGGCAGGGATGCTAAAATACCAAAAACTACAAATCAGGTAAGGCAGTTTATAATAAAAAATGTTATAATATCAAAACCTGTTGTTCTAGTATTCTGTTGATCACTTTATTCTAAAGAGGATGTATTTTATGTCTAAAAGTTTTAGAAGTAAGTTTGTGTGGAGTACTCACAGTCGCCATAGAATTATGGTGATCTTAAAGTGTCTGGAATTCTTTATTTACCACAGCCAGTTAATTTTTTCAGGCCAGTCTACATAGCCAAATGAATATCGGGGTTGTTATTAAGAGGCGGCTGGAGACCAAAATGACTGTCACAATTGCACTTTTGGCGGCCTCAAAACTTAGAAAATACTCATTGTTGTATGTTATAAAACCAAAATGACTACCTCAATTTCAAAATGGACTGTATTGGAAAAGTTTTAATGACATCCCTAAGTAATTTTAGCAATTGGGGCAGAATCATTGCCTATAATAGATGTAGGTCAAATCCTGTTATTTACCTTTAAAGATTCTTCACTGTCAGAAATCAATCGAGTAACATTTAGCTAACTGAAGGTTGGTGGTTCTTTTCACATGTCATAATGAATTGAGGAACAACTAAGGTATTCCACTCTTAGTAAAGCTAGAAAGTTGACATGTGACCTTTACATTGTTGGTGTAACTAAGAAACCAATCAAAATAAAAATTATAAAATATTTTACAGGTTCTGCAGTTATTGTGGGATTTATCTCACCTACCAGCATTATCAACTCACCTAATAGAGCTTGCACTAGAAGAACATTTAGCTATTCTTAATGACTCTTATATTGTTAAAGATCAAGTGAAAAGAAGCTATGTGTCCAAATGTGTTGATGATATTAAAAAGGTAGGTCATACATAATTTTAAGTGTTATTCTTTAAACACTATGTTTTAATGAACTACTATAAGAATACTTGCAGTGTTGATGAGGAGATTAGACCATAGTCCTGTTCTTCATTCTTGATTGTTTTTGAACAATCATTAAGAAACATAAATTATCAAACACTTTTTTCTAAAGGAGTTGCTCATATACATCAAGTTGCAGCTGAAAAGTAATTTTTATCATAAATCATATACCTATAAATTGTCTGATATAGCAAATATCCAGATAAATTTCCTTATTGATGGAATTGTGACATCAGGAATTTGTATTGACATTTTATTCATATTGCCTATACTTTAATTCTAATTTTCTTCACACATTTTACAGAATGTATATAATGAAAACATTTTAATGGATTGCTCTTTATGTGTTTTGTATCACTCACTTTACAACTTTGCAGAAGCAACTTAATCAAAATAACCGATAAAAATAGGATACTCATGCAATATTCACTCACTCACTATATTATATATAAAATACACACATCTTATCCATTTTATTAGGTGGTCTGTTTTAAAAAAAAGGTCGAGTCATTATGATTGCTGCATCGCCATTGTTATCTTTGTCGTTTTTGTTGCCATCTTGCAAAAACTTGAATGTAGCCCATTATTCAAACAAGCTACAATGCATGCTGTGCTCTTACTTTATACTTTATTTTTATATTGCAGGGTGTTTGTGTTTTGCCAACATTGAAACAACTTCATCAGCTGAGCAAGAACATTCTAAAACATAGCTTTAAACAAGATAAGGTTGGTATAATTCACCATGAAACATTGTATGTGTCTTTTGGTGTAGATTTTGAGACCCGATTTATTAAAAAAAATGTGTATTGGAAAATTTGGTTATTTGAGAGATATATTTTTGTAATGTTAACATTTAAAACTTAAACATAAAATGTACTAAAAATGTTTAAAATGTATAGAAAAAGTTTTGTTTTATTATGTATATAAAATAGAATCATATTTAACCAATGAACACAAGCTGTTAAGATGACTTCAAATCATCTGACTTTCATATTTAATGTAAAAAAAAAATATACTTTTTAGTTTAAACATTATTTTATTTATATAAGCTTAGTTTTGATTAAAGGATATCTGCATCACTCTCAGGTTCATATCCTTAAAGAAGCCAAATTCTGTAAGACTTGTCTTTTCCATTATGTTAAAATAATTTGTTTGTTGTTTAACTGTATGTATGTTATATACCGTATACTTTTGGGATTAAGTATGTTTAAACCAAGTTTTCTTCCTGGAACTAACCACTACCAATGTCATATGAGGAAACATGGTTATGACCCCGGAAAAGCTTGGACCAACAATCACAGGGTTGAGTGGCAGATACCTTTTTTATTATAATCTATATTTGTACTGATGTTTCTATATTATTTTATAGGGAATATTACATGAACTGAATAAAAATTTTGACATCATCAAACTGGTCACCCAGAGTCTTGTAAAGTGCCATAAACAAGCTGCAAGCAGTGATGGTCAACTTGACCAGAATACATTAGTGGACAGTAGATATCCACATTCTGAGGTATGTTGCTAGTCTGAGGCCATGAGCATTAGATGTCTTAAGATTCATTATTTTTAAAGTTTTATCAATGAAACTTAAAGTGACATTATGCTTATTCTTTCATGTCAAGTTTAGCTGAATTGACTATATGTTTCAAAAGATTAACTGTTTTAATGGTGATTGACCAACAGTCATTACTGGAAAATGTTTAGAATAAGATATAAATCTGTTTAACATATAAAGAGACTGTCCCACTCTTTTTATAAATTGAACGTTACATTCATTCCTATGCATATTTACAGACATTTTCTTGACACAAGTTAGTTATTTGGGAAAAAATCGTGAAATTGAAAGGAATTATGGCAAAATGAAAACTTATTTTGACTTTCACCTATACACTCACTATACTACCTTGGATAAGCATAATTACACTTTAATCATTTTAATATAACATCATAGTTCTTTTAAACAAGTTTTAGTGAAGTTTTATGTTAATACAAGTATTTCTGAAATGCATTGTTTAATTTTTTTCAGTATGTGATGTCACATTTATCTTTCTTGCAATATGTGTTACAAGAAGGTGTACTATATTTGCCATGGAATCGTGCACGGGAAATCTGGTCTGCTCTTGTAGCTTCAAGTGAAGCTTGCACCTGGGATAGAGAGGTAAGGGAAAAATTGACTGAACTATTTATAACTCTTACAGTTCATATAAGAACTACGCATTTGCCAATTGACTTTACCATCTTTTGATAGTTTGACAGCTTTTTTGTGAACTTTACAATAAGATGTTTTATACCCGAGACAGTTAAAGTGAAGATATTTGATCTATTTCTATTATTTTGCTGAAGATTGCAGTAACTCCATTAAATGAAACTAGTAACAGGCATCTAATGATTTCCTGTTCCACAGACATTTTATGAAGGATTTAACTCAATGCAGTGTTGGAGCAGTACCTCTTGACGCTTGCAGATATCATAATCACAGAGTAGAAAAATATCGCTTTTTTGCCGATTCTTACAGTTTTCATTTATTATCGTATAAAAATCGGTGTGAACAGATGAATTAAACATCTTAAGAGTGCATTTTAGCAGGTGAAAGGGGAGATAATTGACTCATTCAAGCGCCTTGTCTGATATATACCAGAATACTGGTATTTAGTGTGGTGCTCCAACACTCTTTTAGTCTTACTCTTTTATGAATGGCTGAGTAGAGATTCTGTGGACCATGAATAGTTTAGAAAAGGTTTGACTGTCTGTAATTTTATATTTAACACACGTGTTATGAGTGGTTTAGTAAAGATTTAAATGTGTATAATTTTATATTTTACAGACATGTTATGAGTGGTTTAGTAAAGGTTTAATGGACCTGGATAATGAAACCCAAACTAAACTCTTCCAGAATGAACTACTTAGGCTGGACCCAGCTAAAATCAGTGATAAAGGTAAGGGCATGCTTATATAATTTACCCATTTATATTCACGAGTGATATAATGCTGCCCATCCGAACGACAAACAGTGATGTTATCCAGCGATAAAATCACCAATTTGGATATATTATTTTGATTCTAACACGACATAAACAAATAAATGCTGCCGTACCTGCTATTAAGCAAAACTGCGCCTGATTTGTTTCCGTACTTATTGTCAGCGCGTCGGACTTTATAGTGGTTATGTATAATGTATAATGATTATGTCACATGTCTAAATATAGAACGTCAAACAGTGACTCTATTGCATAATAACACACGTTTTCGGTTCTTCTATGTTCAATAGGGAAAAATGCGGGGCGTGTTAGAATGTAAGATACATTTGACATTGAAATATTATTGCTTGATTATAGAGTTTAAGGTTGAAATGTATGCATTTGTTATTATCTAGCAATAAAACCAAGTATATTCATAGTTGACCAAACTTGTAATGAAAAGTACTTAACTGTGTATATGTTACGGTATATTCTCTATGACTTTGTTGTTGTTTTTTTACAGGATTTGTATGTTTTAAAACTTACTTCGAGAATGTGAACAAGAATGATCACAGACTGAAAGATTCAAGTGGAAGTTTGGTAAGTTACTAAACTGGGATGGCGAGGGGGCAGTTTTCCTCCAGATTTTGTTATCTTTATTATGCAGGTTTAGTCATATGATATGCTCTGTATGGAAAACGTCAAGTCTGTTAGCCATGGATTATGGAAACTAAAGTCATGGCCAGTGATGCATAATTTGTGTGATATTTGGTAGACCATGGTATGCCTTATGCAGTTAGACCTCAGTCGCTGTTTCAAAAGATTCATATTGAGATTGTGGCAATTATCAGTACTACCATTTACTTTGTTCACTGTGTTACACATGCAGATTAAAAATATATAAATAATATTTAAGTTTTTTCTATAAATACAAGATTTATTTTCATCAGGTGGTATGAAAATATAGACAAGTGATATTTGTTTTGCATTCAGTATGTATAATATTTGTAATGTATGTTTCGTATTCTATTTCAGATTGTTGAGAAGACAGACTTAATGGGTTTAGATTTTCTCTGGGAACTTTGCCTCAATACTCCAGATGAGACAATTGCTGATTCAGCGATACAACTTCTCCTCAACATGTCATACACTAATCTTGCTTCAAGAATGAAAAAGGTTACTTTACTTTCAGTTTCTAAATTAAAGAAGAAGAAGAAAAAAAATGCAACATGCAAATTTACTTTATATTAATTCATTTCATTCTAAGAAAGCTTATTTATGGGTTTCAATTGATTTATTTCTTTCACTTCATGAAAAGAATTTTTCTGTAAAAATGAATTTATTCTTTTTTCAGGATCCTGTGAATTTGCATAAAAAGTTTATCAATGAATGTCAGACAAGATTGGAGGTGAGCCATTTGCATTACATAATTCTGTATGTATTGTTGTAAAAATGTATATTATGAGTGTCAAGGTCTAGATCTTGAAGTGTGACAATTCAATATTGACATTAAATCTAATAGTCATTTGTCTCTCACCAATGATTGTTGTTTTTATTTCATATAAAAAAATCTGATAAATTTTTTATTATTTGACTTTAGGATATTTATTATGCCCCCATTTCGAAGAAAAGGGGGTATATTGCTTTGCACTTGTCGGTCCGTCGGTCCGTAGACCAAATGGTTTCCGAGTGATAACTAAAGAACCCTTAGGCCTAGGAACTTCAAACTTGGTATGGTGATTGGTCATGACAAGTAGATGACCCCTATTGATTTTGGGGTCAAGGGGTCAAAGGTCAAGGTCACATTGACCTTGTAAGCAAAAATGGTTTCCGATCAATAACTAAAGAACCTTAAGGCCTAGGAACTTCAAACTTGGTATGGTGATTGGTCATGATCAGTAGATGACCCCTATTGATTTTGGGGTCAAGGGGTCAAAGGTCAAGGTCACATTGACCTTGTAAGCAAAAACGGTTTCCGATCAATAACTAAAGAACCTTAAGGCCTAGGAACTTCAAACTTGGTATGGTAATTGGTCATGATCAGTAGATGACCCCTATTGATTTTGGGGTCAAGGGGTCAAAGGTCAAGGTCACATTGACCTTGTAAGCAAAAACGGTTTCCGATCAATAACTAAAGAACCTTTAGGCCTAGGAACTTCAAACTTGGTATGGTGATTGGTCATGATCAGTAGATGACCCCTATTGATTTTGGGGTCAAGGGGTCAAAGGTCAAGGTCACATTGACCTTGTAAGCAAAAACGGTTTTCGATCAATAACTAAAGAACGCTTAGGCATAGGAACTTCAAACTTGGTTTGGTGATTGGTCATGACCAGCAGATGACCCCTATTAATTTTTGGGTCAAGGGGTCGAAGGTCAAGGTCACAATGACATTGTACGTAAAACGGTTTCTGATCAATAACTAAAGAACACTTATGCCTAGGAACTTCAAACATGGTAGGGTAGTTGGTCATTACTAGCAGATGACCCCTTTTGATTTTGGGGTCAAGGGGTCAAAGGTCAAGGTCACATTGACCTTGTAAGCAAAAACGGTTTCCGATCAATAACTAAAGAACCTTAAGGCCTAGGAACTTCAAACTTAGTATGGTAATTGGTCATGATCAGTAGATGACCCCTATTGATTTTGGGGTCAAGGGGTCAAAGGTCAAGGTCACATTGACCTTGTAAGCAAAAACGGTTTCCGATCAATAACTAAAGAACCTTTAGGCCTAGGAACTTCAAACTTGGTATGGTGATTGGTCATGATCAGTAGATGACCCCTATTGATTTTGGGGTCAAAGGTCAAGGTCACATTGACCTCGTAAGCAAAAACGGTTTCCGATCAATAACTAAAGAACCTTAAGGCCTAGGAACTTCAAACTTGGTATGGTGATTGATCATGATCAGTAGATGACCCCTATTGATTTTGGGGTCAAGGGGTCAAAGGTCAAGGTCACATTGACCTTGTAAGGAAAAACGGTTTCCGATCAATAACTAAAGAACCTTAAGGCCTAGGAACTTCAAACTTGGTATGGTGATTGGTCATGATCAGTAGATGACCCCTATTGATTTTGGGGTCAATGGGTCAAAGGTCAAGGTCACATTGACCTTGTAAGGAAAAACGGTTTCCGATCAATAACTAAAGAACCTTAAGGCCTAGGAACTTCAAACTTGGTATAGTGATTGGTCATGATCAGTAGATGACCCCTATTGATTTTGGGGTCAAGGGGTCAAAGGTCAAGGTCACATTGACCTTGTAAGCAAAAACGGTTTCCGATCAATAACTAAAGAACCTTTAGGCCTAGGAACTTCAAACTTGGTATGGTGATTGGTCATGATCAGTAGATGACCCCTATTGATTTTGGGGTCAAGGGGTCAAAGGTCAAGGTCACATTGACCTTGTAAGGAAAAACGGTTTCCGATCAATAACTTAAGAACTTTAAGGCCTAGGAACTTCAAACTTGGTATGGTGATTGGTCATGATCAGTAGATGACCCCTATTGATTTTGGGGTCAAGGGTCAAAGGTCAAGGTCACATTGACCTTGTAAGCAAAAAACGGTTTCCGATCAATAACTCAAGAACTTTTAGGCCTAGGAACTTCAAAGTTGGTATGGTGATTGGTTATGACCAGCAGATGACCCCTATTGATTTTGGGGTTAAGGGGTCAAAGGTCAAGGTCACATTGACCTCTTAGGTAAAAACGGTTTCCGATCAATAACTAAAGAACCCTTAGGCCTAGGAACTTCAAACTTGGTATGGTGATTGGTCATGACCAGCAGATGACCCCTATTGATATTGGGGTTAAGGGGTCAAAGGGCAAGGTCACATTGACCTTGTAGGTAAAAATGCTTTCCAATCAATAACTTAAGAACCCTTAGGCCTAGGAACTTCAAACTTGGTATGGTGATTGGTCATGACCAGCAGATGACCTTTTGATTTTGGGGTCAAGGGGTCAAAGGTCAAGGTCACATTGACCTTGTAGGTAAAAACGGTTTCCGATCAATTAACTAAAAACGCTTAGGCCTAGGAACTTCAAACTTTGTATGATGATTGTTCGTGACCAGCAGATGACCCCTATTGAGTTTTGGGTCAAGGGGTCAAAGGTCAAGGTCACATTGACCTTGTAAGTAAAAACGGTTTCTGATCAATAACTTAAGAACGCTTAGGCCTAGGAACTTCAAACTTGGCATGGTGATTTGTCATGACCAGCAGATTACCCCTATTGATTTTGGGATCAAGGGGTCAAAGGTCAAGGTCACATTGACATTGTAAGTAAAAACGGTTTCTGATCGATAATTAAAGAACGCTTCGGCCTAGGAACTTCAAACTTGGTATGGTGATTGGTCATGAGCAGCAGATGACCCCTATTGATTTTAGGGTCAAAGGTCAAGGTCACATTGACCATGTATGTTAAAACAGTTTCCGATCAATAACTAAAGAACCCTTAAGCCTAGGAACTTCAAACTTGGTATAGTGATTGGTCATGACCAGCAGATGACCTATTGATTTTGGGGTCAAGTGGTCAAAGGTCAAGGTCACATTGACCTTGTAGGTAAAAACGGTTTCTGATCAATTAACTAAAAACGCTTAGGCCTAGGAACTTCAAACTTTGTATGATGATTGGTCGTGACCAGCAGATGACCCCTATTGAGTTTTGGGTCAAGGGGTCAAAGGTTAAGGTCATGACCAGTAGATACTTGATAACCCTTATTAATTGTTTGATCACTGGGTCAGAAGTCATGCATAATAACCTTATCACTTGACTAATTGGCTGCTGATAGGGGGCATACATGTTTTACAAACATATCTTGTTATTTTTGATATTGAAATAATACCAATTGGATTCATATATTGAAATGATGTATTTTACAGACTGCTATGATAGGAGTTAGTGGTACTGCTATTTCTCAGGCCATTCTTAGTGCCACTAAAACCTTGACAGCTGCCGTGGTACCAGAAGTTGCCAATATATCTGTTCCTTCCAAGTAAGTTGTTATAAATAATGTGTTTTTATTGTGAATAGATCAGTATGTGTTATAATTCTAAAGTTTTTTTTTTTTCATTGTAAATAGGTCTGTTTGAGGTGTCCCGGTAAATAGTTTAATTGTTTCCTGTCTATTCTTTCACTTTATTAAAATTGAGGGTGTGTAATGTTTATTTTCCACGATCACCAAGAGAATTTTATATATTAGAATAATGTTCTGTCAGTACCAGGTGATAAGTGTTTGTGTTACAGCTGTTTGAAGCCTCCATTGAGTGTTTATTACTGTATTTGGACACTTGACTAAGTTTAACTAATTACAACAGTGAAACCACTTAGCTTATTAGGGAAAACACCATATTTCTAATCCCAGCGTCGCTGAAATGATCCTCAGGCAAGGTGAAATTTTTCTGTGACATGACAATTATGAGGATTGATGTTGGACATAGAGTTCAAGGGTCATTTGTCTCAAACAGCTGATTGTGATATCATGTGGGATAAGTCGTTATTCACTTGCAGAAAAATTGGTAATTACTGGTTAGATATCCAGAAAACTTGGTTAGATGGACTTACTGAATTTGTTGAAATTGATGTAAAAAAAAACAAAAAAAGAAAAATAGACAAACAAATCAACAAATTACAACATTTTTTCAGCTTTTATATATAAAAAAATCCCATGATTCTGGAGGTACATTGTATACATGTAAATAGTTGTATATGTTCTATTTAGATCAATAAAGTTGTTGAACATAGAGAGGTTACTGTGGATTGCTGAGATGTACGTACTAAACGTGGAGGAGACCCATGTTAGTCCACGAACCATATTGCCACATGGGGCCTCATTTCAGGGATTTCAGATCAACCTCTTCATCTCATGTGAAACTCCCAAACAAGAGTTTATGCTTGTTGTAAGTTATTTTCATTTATGATATAAAATATTGAAATTTAATTAAATAAAGTTCTGTTGAATTGTATTCATGATAGATTTTAATGAAAGTTGCCGCAGACATCTTCAAAATCTAATGGAGTTCATGAATAGCTTTTCAATATTTTAAACTGTGTGTTTCTAGATGAATTTTTTTACCACATGTAATGAGGGAAAAGATGTGAAGCAAATAATGTATTTTAATGGTGGACTTAAATTTTTTGATAATCTGAAATGTTGTTTGAGCTTAGTTTGAATAATTTCTGTTCTAAAATTGATGACTTATTGCTGCTGAGTTTTAGCTTGGATCGGACCAAATTTGAGTTGAACAATCTATTTTTGATATAAGTTTTTTTTTTTGGTATCAAGATACAAGATTTATGTAGGTATCAGTATAGAGTCTGGTCCGTCTATGTAATAGCTTAGTAGGCCTGTAACTATCAATGCTTACACTCAAGTTTAGAAAAGTATTATGAACTTAAACAGTATATCAGTTTTAGAAGAATATAGTGTGGGTATGGATACTGATAATAAAATTGATAATATTAGTTCGGGTATATGTAATTACCTTTTTGGTTTTTTAAAATTTTTAACAGTGTCACAGCAACGAGACCCTGGGTAACGTTAAGGTGAAGATTGCCAACAGATTACGACAGAGTACAGAAAACATACAAGTTGTTGCTCAAGAAAAACTGGTCAGCAATGTAGTAAGATTTTTCTTCCCTTTTGGAAAAAATTATCTGTTTATACTTATAGTGAAGGTTTCATCTTTGTATCAGAAAGTGTATCAGAGCCAGCTCTGTATAAATGATATCCTCTGCAGAGCAACTCCCTCTAGGGGACAAAGATTTCGGTTGTAGGTAAGAGTTGTTGCTCTACAGAGGTTAAATTTATTGTGATGTCTTTGGAAACAAATGATAATGTTGTTATAAAGAGGTAATTGCTATACGAGGGCAACTCTGCAGACATTATTCTGTATGACTTGCATAGAAATTGATAATGGCTGGTTATTTATATAGGAAAGGCATTTAAGTGCATTGGCCACAAAGATAATACCATAAAACCTGTTAAATATTGGTGTGAAAACTAAGCAAACAAATAGTTAAAGTAATATTGCTTTATTTTGACATATGATCAAAATTCAGAAAGCCATGGTTGTGAACCAATTTTTAATTCAGCCTATACTGCCCTTACCATGATTAACTCTTTTTATCATGATCAAGCTCTGCTTTGAACTATGAAGTGTCTGTTATCATATGGTATATAATCTTTACTAACTACATGTTATATATTACAGCTGGGTAGTAACAAAGATCAGAAACTGTTACATCAGTTAGATTTTGAAGACAATCAAACAATCCAAGTACGAATGGTGACACCTTCCAGCACAGTTAGCACCTCTCAATCTAAAGAGGTTAGTTAATGGATCATCATTTTAAAGCTTAACTAATGTGGAAATAAGTTTTATCTTGATAATGCATGTAGTATGAATTTATATAATGCATATAGTATGAATTTATAAGATATATTTATATATCAGTTGGGGGCTCCCTTGCTAATTGGTAAGGATGGCTGTTTCAAATTATTTGCCCTTTACAGCTGTGCATTTTAATCCTGCCAGGAATTTTGTATTCCTTCATGGGATGTGGATATCCAGCTAGGTCACTGAATGGCGGTGATTCTACTCAGGTGCCAGCTTGTGCCTGAAATGCACTGGGAAATATCTGAGGTCTTCCTTCACCAGTAGGTCCTAATGCTTGAAAGTGGCCACATGACCTAAATCATGTTGATGTGTTTTAAATCCCAACTCATAACCAAAATACACCCCCTCCCCCCAAAAATGTATGTATAATGTAGGAACTTCCCTTTTAAAGTAGAAATAATAAACTCTTTATAAAAAAACAAAGTTGTCCTGTTAGGAGTTATACCAACTTTTTTATCTTTACAGGCACCAGGTACTCCACTGTCAAAACAGACATTTGACCTTGAGCAGGAGAAGATGTTGCCAGGGGTGATAATGGCCGCCGGAGGTCAGGTGTTTGACATGTTGTATCAACTCTCTGAGCTGGAAGAAACTAAGTATGTTCAGCTGTTTGGCTTATTATGAGGTCTTAAGTATAAAACATTTTCTGCAACTTTTCGGAACATGGTTTCAAGGAATGTGTGAATAAGTGCTATTGTATTTAATATTTTTGTGCCCCCGCGTTAGTGGCGGGCATTTAGATTTACCCTTGTCCGTCCGTCTGTCCATTGCAATTTTCAACTTGTGTCGCACGTAACTCAAAAAGTATTTTACCTAGAGTCATGAAACTTTACAGGAATGTTGATCAGCATGTGTTGTTGTGCACCTGGGTATTTTCGTCTGGATATTTTTAGTATTTTCAGAGTTATTGCCCTTGACTTAGTAAAATTTTGCAATTTTCAACTTGTGTCGCATGAAACTCAAAAAGTATTTGACCTAGAGTCATGAAACTTAACAGGAATGTTGATCAGCATGTGTAGTTGTGCACCTGGGTATTTTCGTCTGGATATTTTTAGTATTTTCAGAGTTATTGCCCTTGACTTAGTAAAATTTTGCAATTTTCAACTTGTGTCGCACGTAACTCAAAAAGTATTTGACCTAGAGTCATGAAACTTTTCAGGAATGTTGATCAGCATGTGTAGTTGTGCACCTGGGTATTTTCGTCTGGATATTTTTAGTGTTTTCAGAGTTATTGCCCTTGACTTAGTAAAATTTTGCAATTTTCAACACGTGTCGCATGTAACTCAAAAAGTATTTGACCTAGAGTCATGTAACTTTACAGGAATATTGATCAGCATGTGCAGTTGTGCACCAGGTATTTTTGTCTGGATTTATTTAGTATTTTTAGAGTTATTGCCCTTCACTTAAATTTTTTTTGCAATTTTCAACTTGTGTCGCAAGTTCTCAAAAAGGATTTGACATAGTCATTAAACCTTATGGGCAGGTTGCTCAGCATATTTAGATTTGCACCTGGGGTTTCGCTTGTGGATGTATCCAGTATTTGTAGAGTTATTTCCCTTGACTTAGTAAAAAGATTGACAGAACAGTGGCGCGGTGGGGGCACCCGTGTCCTATGGACACATTTCTAGTTAAGTATTTTAGTTTCTATGGAAATATTGTTTATTCAAATATAAGCACCCTTATTTGCTTTGAACACAACAAGAGTGGTGATGACCTATTTATTGCTCAAAACTCTCATTTATAGAATGTTTTGTGTAATATTAACTGGCTAGTTCTTTAAATTTGCTTTAGGATAACAACCCGGGTGAGGAAGTTATTGATGCTAATACCAACTGATCCAGCTGTCATTGATGCCCTAGATTCTGTGTCCACAAGGGTTTGTATATATCTATTATATACTTAGAAGTTTTCTATTGTTTATACAGTCATTTGTTCATGTATGAATGCGTAATACAAAGTAGTGATACCTTCTTATTGAATAACATAATGTCATTAAGCTAGCTAGAAAAATTAAATACAAGTATAAAGGTGATGAAGCGCACTGGCTTTTAATCACTGCTCGTCAGTATGGGTTTGAATTTCAACAAGGGCTTTGAAGTCTTTCGTATGATAAAGTGATCCAGCTAGGCTTTCAATGACGAGTTACCGGTAGTTGTTTAGGATGACCAGTTTTATACTAGTTGCTAGTGCCTAAGATAATACAAAAAAAGACTTAGAAGGTTTTTATCCACAAGTGTGGCTGGATTGTACATTGTTGATGAAAATTTAGAACATCCAAAAAGAAAGAAATATAAAAATAAAACAACATGTATTTTTTACCTGTCTGATTTCAGCTGCCAACACTTGGTTCATCTGATGATCTCAGCCCCAGATCAAGCCCCAGGAAATCAACAACTGCCCCTAGTCCGAAACAGACCCCTCAGGAAACACTTAAAGCCCTGTTTGATTGCTCCAGTCCAGATATGTCCGCATTTAGAGTATTATATAATTTAGAGGTAAGATTTGGGTTTATCATTTTCAACGTGTTCCTGAATTTATTTTTGTGCTTTTTTCCCTAGCACTTACTTTTTACAGTCTTATTCAAATTGACCTACAAATGTACTTTTGAGTGCATGATTTGTAGTAAAATTGCAGTTATAATTGATTTCTCTAAATTACACACACACAAATAGGCATTTGTTTCGTACAAGATCAAGGGAAGGATAAAAACTTCAGTAAAGGTGTTCTTTGTCAGTTTATAGCATGAACCAATCCATTCACAACGACTCCAGTCTATATATCATCTTATAATATTAATTAGTTTTGAATATGACATCTACGGTACATGTATTTGTTAATTTCTTAATGGCTATTTGCCCAGGTGTATACATTGATCAATGGAGAAAAAAGAATAACTTGCAATATTTATTGTGAAATGAGTGATTTTATTTTGTGATCAGAAGGGAAAAGTTATTCTATCCAAAAAATTGACCTACAAATGTACTTTTGAGTGCATGATTTGTAGTATTTATATTGTTTTTATGGACTCACTTTGCTCCCCGGTACAACATAAAGTGATTGAAAGAGTAGTCAGAATAAATGAATAGCTGTAAAGTAAAATTTAAAAATTTTACACTTTGGTGGTTTTTCAAACATCACAAAAGATTTATTTGAAATTTTTAGGTTTTAAGCAGCAAGTTAATGCCCACCTCTCAGGATATGGGTTCTAAAGTGAGCTCACAGGCATTTTTTGAGGACTTCCTTACTGCAGGAGGACTGTCCACTGTTGTGAATGTGCTACAACCTGAATCATTGCATCAGGACATCAACTATGTCACTAGACAGGGATGCTACTCTGTTTGTTTACAGCTTGCAAGGTAACGAAAGATTTTCAGTGTCTTTTAAATGTTGTTTGCCTATTCTTTATCAAATTTACGCGAAATATAAAAAACAAAACAATGTAGTCTAATTCTAAAACCCAGCTTAGACTAGACTGAGGTACTTGGCCATTTGCCTGAATATTAAGCTGCTGCAAATGCTATAATGTGTTTGCTTTCAACAGGCAAAGGGTAATCCAAGTAGTAGCCCTCTTGATTTTAGTAGCCTCCTTGATTTGGGACATTTTTGGGACTTGTCAGTTATGTATCAGCATAATGGGATTTGATTTGTTATAATGTTTGGGTGTTTAGTGTATGATATTACAGGAAAGTAGGGCTATGAAAATGAAAAAAAAATTGTACTCATGGTTGCAATTTGACAGTGTCACCTGTCTTACACAGAAATACTTAAATCCAATATACACATTCACACATGCATATCCTAACACTTTAATCACTTATCTTTGGAAATTTTTCAGACAAGAATAATGTGTAAAATTCAAATACTACATACTGTACATCATGTCCTATAATAGAAACACAGACTGAAGGGACCAATTTAAATGATATAGTGTGTTTATGATATTGTCTGACAATTTCAAGACATTTTGCTATATTTTGTTTTAAGATATCTGTTGTGTGGTCAGACTGTAACAGGAGATCTTGCTTTCACTCCGGCCAAAGAAGATAACAGATTGTCCAGTGCTGGGTCAGCGGGTGCGACAGTGGTACCTGTGACTCCACCTGTAGGCACCCCGGTGATCACGTTATCGCCTCTCACTGTTGATACCCGTACTGCAGGAAGCCATGCTGTCCAAGTAAGTCAAATATTATACTCTCTTACATGTTTTTATTTTTTCTTAACTTTAACATTCATTAAGTTAAAGTAACAGACTTGCGCTGCAACAATTGGCTATAAAAATGATTTCAATATTGAAATGCTAACAGTAAAGTGTCTGATGAGGTTTTGCACAAGAACTGGAATGCCTGGCTTTTTAATTTGCTATAGACAAGTGATAATTGCTCCTGAAATTCAGGGTAAATGGTTTTCATATGGTTTTATTTTGAACTTTTAACAATTTTAATTGTGTTTGGAATAGATGTAAGCCCTAAAACAATTTAGGTTCTGATAAGTTCACTGTCAGTAAGTGGCATGATTGCAAACATAAATATTCAGGGCAATTGTAAATGTCTATTTTTTTAATCACTGTCAGTAAGTGGCATGATTGCAAACATAAATATTCAGGGCAATTGTAAATGTCTATTTTTTTCAGTAAAAATTACCCAATAGGTCAATAAAACTGCATGATTGAACAGTAGCTTTACATGACTTGTGTTTTATTTTTAGACTATGGGGGTGCATGATTTCACTGAGACGGTTTCATGTTTTATGAGAGTTGCATGGGCGGCTGCAGCAGGAAAGCTCCACCTACTCAGTTCTCCTCAGCCAATCAGAGAGAGTGCTACTGCTTACAGTTGTGGTAGGCGGAGTCGTCAAAGCAGCACTGGTATGCTGGTTTTTGTTTTTATTTCTGAATTTTATTTCTGTGGCTAATTTAAATATTTGACCTGTCACTTCTGAGTGAGAAACTTTTATGCAATGGCAATGAATGGCAACAACTACTTTTTAAGTTGTGTAATATACGAATAGTCTTCTTGGGTGTCTTCTTTGATAGGACAAAAACCCTGATGTGATCCTTAGCCCTTCCTTCTCCAGAATACTAAAAAACAGCATATGACTTCAGCTTTGTCATTGTTACTTAAATCTAATCCTATGGCAATAAAGTTCAAATAGTTAGAAGTCAATATCCGTAAGCACTGTACTATGGAGATGTGAGTAAAGTACAGTTTAGCTTTGGCAAAGCAGGCCTTTGTAGAGCAATAACATTTTTGCAAAACATTTCTTCCCGAACTAAGACTTCAAAATAAATCTACCATCACATTAACAAACAAAATCTGTTTTTTCCTTTTAACAAACAAAAAAGGTTGTTGCTGATTGGATTTTGTACTTTTTTTTTTATTATAGAAAAGTGAAAAGAAGTTATTGTATACTAACATTAGTTGATATATTGTTTCAGGATCTCAGGGTAGTACAGGTAGTGAGAGTGACTGTCAAAGTTTACATGGGGGCGTTTGTGTCAAACAGAACTTTATATCCACCAAAGATTGCAACATTGCGAAAGAGGCCTTAGAAATTCTCGTCACTTGCCTTCAGCTTCGCAGTGAGCTTATTGGTAAGATTATTATGATTTTGTATGGTACATTCATCATGAAATGATATAGAAATATATATAATGGTGAGGTGTAAAAGGCACTGAACTTTTATGACATTGACACAAGTTTAATGAAAAGGCCTGACGAACAGCAGTAAGAGACCATTTCAATAATTGGGGCTCTGATGTTGTAAACAAATTTTGTATGGCTTGGTTGATAAGGACCATCATTCAGTATTATGTTTTGATAGGGACAGGTGTGGTAGTTAAAACATGGTAAATTTTTGTGGTTACTATTAAGGTAACATGCTCAGCCCATAATGTTGATATTATTATTTATTTTTTTCCCTCAGCTGCTTTCTACACACTGCCCTGTGTAAGTGATTTCATCATTGACATATTGGTCGGTTGCTCGCAGAGTGATATTCGTAGTGCAGCGGCTGACCAGTTTTACCAGCTGGGGCAGACAGAGGTGACAAACTTAGAATCATCGAGCAACCCGCAGACACCTCATCAATTCTTACTTCAAGTACTGCTGAAAGCTTACCTCCCTTTCTGGGTGTCATCTTCATCTACACGTGGAGCTAGTCAGAGGTTGGTATATCTATCTTTATCATCTTTATTGTATATACTCAGCCATAAGTCTACCTCTTTCATAAGACAGGAGCTATATTTTAGTGCAAGAAATTTGGGTAATTAAACTTTATCCATTTTAAAGTCAAGGATCTTTTTCTGCCAAAACAGCCTAAGTTAAATTTGAAAAAAATTACAAATTTAAGTTAATTTACAATTTCATGAACTGTATTTGACTGACCAATACCAAGGATAAAATGGAAAAGAAAGAAAATCTTTCTTATGACTATGATTTGTTTGAACTTGTAATAGAAAGCACAACCTATTTGTATGTTGCCATTTGTTTTTCATTGAAGAATGTTTTGTTTGTTTTTCAGGTTACTTAGTCAGTGTTCTCAATACTTTGATCTCAGATGTAAATTGTTAGAAAATCTCTCAAGTAAGCACTATTTGATTTTACATACTTTTTCACGAACAATATTAAATGCTTATTTATAAACAGATTCTTTGAAAAGGAGTTAATCAAATTGCAAATTTTGAAGCAAGAAAATTAGTTTTGGGACAGATAGATTCTTAGTCACAGAGGGCCTTCAACTTAGAAGTAAATTAGATTTTTTTACAATGGAGCCCCTAGAATTTTTAAAATAACAATTTATAGCTTCAATGCCCCTTTAATATTGAAGCAATTAGATTCTTTAACATAGAGGTCCTTCAGTTGTTTGGAATAAATAATTTCTTTGGAAAATATTGCACTTAATAAAAAGTTATTTTTATGTATTAAAGTTTCAGATAAATAATCTTAAAGTAGAACATACATGTAACATTGTGAGTTTGGTTATTGTATACATGTATATTTGTACATTTTCAGCTGTTGATCAGAAGCAATATCAGGTTGATATATCTGGCATGCTGGAGGACGAGGTAGCCTGGTTATCAAACTTTGTACCCACAGAACACCCTGACCTGATGGACACAGACAACATGTTATTAGCGGGACATCTAAAATTGATAAAAACATTGTTCACATGTGAGGGGATCTGTAAGGAAGGATATGGTAATACCTAATATGTCAGCTTTAAGTTTGAGTTTTAAGCATTTAAATGGAAAAAAGTATGGACTGAAAAGATTTGAATAATAACTCACATCATTTTTTGTGAAGTTTTTTGTGTAAATATGGCTTTGGAAGGAAATACTATATGATATTAATGCCCTGACTACTATACATGCATGTGATGTGAATATGCCATTGTCTGTCCATCCTGCTGTCATACTTTCTGTCTGTTGCCTGACAAATAAAACAGGTTATAAAGAGGCATCAGTGACCTATGTAATTAAATTTAGGTTAGTAGTAAAAAAAGAAGTAAACTTTTCATTTCATTGCTTTCCAGTGAAATAGTACTTTTGAGACAATTCAAATGGTATAATGTATAGGATAGGAAAACTTGATTTCCATTTCATGATGTTGTTTCTTTATTTTATATTGTAGGAAAAGCATTGGTACATGATTTGCTGCATGATTTCTTGTTCCCGGCTTCAAAAACCATGATGGACAGTATGAATGGGGGAACCACCGACCTTCTTCTCTCTGAACTGAATCCTAAGTATGAAATATGTTATATTAAGAATTTAGTTTTGTATTGACTAGCCTTCTTGAACATGTAATTTTTGGGATTGTTTTACATACACTTGCCTTTTTCTGCTTTCTTCTGTGACTCTATGCTAGCTTATTTATAACCATGACCAGGCATGATGGATAAATGCTGATGCAAATGATTTGAAACAATTTTATTTTGTGATAATTGTACCAGTTAACGAAATGAGAAGGATTTTTATATCAGGTGGTGTCATACTCTTATATCTGATGATAACTATTCTGATTATGTGCTATAAATATCATCAGGAAAAACCATATAATTCTCCTAAAAATAAACTCCAGTTATTTCCATGCAACCTGGTATAATTTTGATATTCAAATCCTTAATTACATGGTTACTGTTCCAAATTCAAACAAAGCAGATAAGTGCATTAATTTTATAGTCAGGTAAGGGTTAAATTAACATTGAAAGTTTACAAATTCAAAAAAACACAAATGTGCAAAGTTTGCAAGGATTGGATCAAAGTCAGTTAAAGATAAATTGGTAAAAAAATTATACTGTTTTATCTGACCTTGTTTTAAGATTTAGTTTTTAGAGTTTAAGTTTATATAATGTTACAATATTCGGTCAAGACTGCCTTAGCGACCCCCTGATTTCAACGACTCCCTGTCTTATCCGACCTTGTTTCAGTCCTCCCTACATATTTTCCTATATAAATGGTCTGAATTATATGACTCCCTGTCATATGTGACAAGCGACCCCAATTGTCTGTTCCCAGTGCATTGCTTTGTCTGATTAAAACGACTTTCACACCCTTTAATTGTCCGTTAATCAGATAAATAATACCTGTTTTATCAACAAGAGGGGAAAAATAATTAAGTCAAATAATAATCCAGTAGTCAACACTCTTTAAATAAACTCTACACACCTCTGCCTCAATTACACGGATTACATGTATACAGGTAACAAGTGACGTAGCGTCTACTCCCTACTGCCAAATATGGAAGCATGATGCAAGCGTATGTGTTAACAAATTGAGGTGTAATGAACATAATGACCTGAGTAAACTGGATTAAGACTTGTGTCAGATTAAAAAAAAAAATATGGAGTGCCAATGGAAGATTTTTTAGGCAGCATTTTTTAGAATTTACTATGGCTGCATGAATAATACAGAAAAATGTTGATACCAGACCAGAAGAATCTTTGGATATTGATATGTTATAAAGTTTGATATTTATTTGCATCACATTCAAGTTTTTTTTTGTACCATAATTATTCAATATAGATCTAAATCTAATACAAAAAATAAAATTATAATTTTATATGATATACATGTGATTATATTTGCTTTACAGCGATTCTTATTTTATTTTCATCAAATATTTTAACTACAGGTCTATGTTTATTTTCAATTGGTTGGATATTATTCCTTCACACATATATATATGTATATATGTGTTAAGTCACAATAGTATATAGACAGATAGATGGTATTTAAATTTAAATTTTCTATGAGACTGTATTAAGAGACTCCCTGTCATATGTGACCTTTTTCTGAAGGTCCCTTGGAAAGTCACATATGACAGTCTCAACTGTACATTAACAAAATTCGGCTGTTTAGATTAACTCTTATTTACTAATGTTTTGAAATGTCAAATTGATAGTGATAACAGATATTAATGATATTGCAAGTTTTTTGGTAAGAAAAAAATTAGATTAGATTAGATGAGACATGTGTACTATTTTAAGCAAATAATGTTTGTGGTTTGATTGGAACTTTGTTCTTTTTCAATTTGTTTGGATGGAGTTTTTGGTGATTTAAATAAATTGTGTTGTGTTATGGGTAAGTTTGATGTTCATGCTCATTTACTTCAATACTAAATTACTAATAGAGCTGTTACATCGAGAATTGATAAAATTAATATGTGGATGTATCATGATGAGTTCTAGCTGCAACATCCAGTCAAAGGTCAAAGGGCCAGGTCACTGCTACCTGTAATAGGTTAAGGTCCATTTTCTCAAAAACTACTAAAGCGTTTCGAATCAAACTTCGTGTATTTGTTCATTATCAAATTACCCTTCTCTACTTTGCTTTTATCTTTCTGTCCAGAAAGTGTAGCATGCTGCTTGGGACTTTTTTTTAGATTAATTGATTGACTTTCATCTTGGTTTTCCATATTAATACTTTGTGAAAATATCTGTAAATGTTGGTGGGATTGACTTTCATCTTGGTTTCCCATATTAATACTTTGTAATATATCTGTAAATGTTGGTGGTCTGAGTTTTAATCAATCTTCCCCCAAATTATTTGAATACCTTCAAAAAATAGTTGAGCTGGTCATGTTAAGGACCTTATCCTTCCCTAGAATAATTAAAGATCTGAGCTAGAATTCTTGTAACACAGTTAATGCAGGTATTATTTTAACTTTCAGGTGCAATAAGACAGAATCACGGGTAGCAGCATATGAACTGATCACTGAGCTAGCCAATGAATCTCTGAGTAATCTAACTGATGTCTGTAGTCAACTTATAGAGATGCATCATCAACCTAACCTTGATTGTGCCAATGAATGGGAGGTTAGTAATCATTTCCTGTTACTTTTTTAAATGACATAACATAAACAATCCATTTATAAATTATACAGTCAGTTATACTAATTTTCGTAAAACCTATCTTGGAAATGTATAAAATTTCTGTTTATAGCCTACCTCTTTTTCTAGTGGCAAAGGCCAATCACACCTGGTTCCAGCAGATTATGGGCATTTGATATTAAATTGATTGAATGGTTTACAATAACATTGTTTGCTCTCGGATGATTTTGGATAAATGGACCTATTACATCTTTAAGTGATTATGATAGGGTTAACACTTATTCAATTATCTTTTAACATTCTTACATATTTGATAGTAGATTTTACTTTTTTTCGACATGGCTTCAAATAATATATATTGATCATATTTCAAAAAATGAATTCTGTCATGAATTATATTACAGTATTTACCACCGGTTGATGGTAGAGCAGTATGTGGATATGTAGGTTTACGTAATGGTGGCGCCACCTGTTATATGAACTCTGTGATACAACAGTTATTTATGGTTCCCGGGATACCAGATGCTGTACTCAGTACGGATGACGAGGACACGGATGAAGAAAGGTATTAGACATGTCCTTCCTGTTTTAACATAAAATGAAAAGGAAATTTGTAACAAAAAAACCCCAAAAATTTGATTGGTTATAATACAAGTTATGAAATGAACAGTATGGTTATTTATAATACAAATTATGGAATTGACCAATGGTAGGATATTATTTAGAAAAATATGTCAACTACTTAATGCAAAAAAACTCTTGCATAGAAGAAATGAATACTCCAAATATTTGTGTAAGCAATGAATTCATTTAATTTTAACATCACTGTAAGTGTATGATAAATAGAAATTTTATGGTTAGAAAAGTGATATTAGACATACACCTCCCACCCTACCTCACCACAACACTCAAAATTATTAAAATTTGAACTTAAGAAAATAAAATGTATTTAAAAAAATAATATGTATTTAATAGTAAAAAGCTATGTCATTATAATTTATATTACAGTGTATACTACCAGATACAGCAAGTGTTTGGTAACTTAATGGATAGTAGATTACAGTATCATGAACCAGAGAAATTTTGGAAAGTGTTCAAGTTATGGGGAGATCCTGTTAACATCAGGGAACAACAAGATGCCTTTGATTTCTTTCAAGCTCTCATAGATCAGATTGATGAACAACTTAAGGTATGTTACAATTTTGACTTGTAGGGACTTTCTTTGTTATTTTTTCTCACAGTATGTTATATTGACACGCCTCCAGAAATGTATATAAATATGTTCACAATTCAGATGAAACTTTGAATGAATTGAGGCGAGTGGTGGCTTAGTGGTAAAAGTGTCTGCCTCTCAGCCCAAAGATTATTTGTTTTAGTCCTAATCCGGTCACGACCATGTTTCACAATTTGACACCAGTACTGGTTGGTTCCAGGAAGCAGATTCGAAAATGATTAAAATAAGTTGCAAGAACTTGTTTCGCAATCGAGCTTAAATAAATATGTTTAAACTAAACTTTGAATTTTACATGAAAAATGTGGTGTTAAAAGAATTATTTTGTTACTCAAAGTCTACTCTGTTATAAATGGTGTTAGAGAAGTTTTTCTGCAGTAACAAGTTTAATATAGGTAATTTCTGTGTATAGTTAGTGTTATAGGCTAGGTTTTCTCATTAAATTAATATACTAGACAAAATATTTTCAACAGTTTTTAAGTTTCCATAAAAAGTAACTTAAATCTAGAACCAAGTTGCTTTATGGCTGAGTTTCAAAATTTGCTGTGATCAGCAGTGACTAAATACATTTTCATTATTTAAACAATCGGAATCATACAGTTTGAGATGGATTTGAGCCGCTTCACAACAAAACCAACATAGTGCGTTTGCGACCAGCATGGATCCAGACCAGCCTGCGTATCAGCATTATATTGGTTTTGTCGTGACGCGGCTCATTTATCTTACTCTCAGTATTTGCCACTTTATTTGTGGAGAGGTGACAAAATTCCTCATTTTTGTTGAAAGGATAGAAATTGTGCTGACATGAAAACTTAAGTGGACTAATTAGAAAGTGGTGAAATTGTTTAATAACTTTTTATGTGCAATTATGAATTGATTTATTAATCTGTGACAAAGTATTATTTTATTTTTCAGAAATCGGGTAAAGAAGAAATCTTTAAGAAAAAGTTTCAGGGGATTTTTACTGATCAAAAAATATGCAAAGATTGTCCGCATAGGTAAGTTTGTGATATTTTTGTTGTTTTACTCACAAATTGGGTGATGGAATTGTTACCACTTGAAAAGAAATATTTTCACTGTTTACCAAAGAATACAAATAAATGCAGTACTATAACATACGTGTATGTTATCTTATTGATACATTAAGATTTTAGTCTGTTTCAATAATAAAGTGGTTATTTATTTGCTATTAGCACAGTTTAATAAAAACTTTATTTTTTATCTATGGTGTGCATGATTTTACTAGATTGATTAAGATTTATATGACTTTTCATTTGATACAGTCAGGACTCATTACAACGACACTGTTGGTTCCCAAAGGATATGTCAGTATATCGAATTTGTCAGTATAGTGAATTTCATCATTCATCATGAAATGATTTGCTTATTCACTGGTATATTAAGATCTATAAAAAACATCTAATGAAAATGATTTTTGTGTTTATGTATTCACTTCATTACACACATTACATATCATACACATAATACAAATACTTCATTAAAATAATAACAACTTAAAAAATTAAAGAATTTTATGAAAATGATAAAACTTTATACAATAAAAAAGCACATACAATGATAGGACTTTTAAAAGTTAAACCTTTAAAAATTGATTGCACACTGTTTGTTGTCACAAGTGGGCAAGTGTAACAAAATTCAGCAGACAACAACACGTTGGTATTGTAATAAGGTGTTACAATCAGCTGTCCAAGCTACAATACCTGTTTTAACACCTTGCAGCTTTTGTTCACGACTCAATGATACGCGGGCTTGACTGACCAAGTGTCAGTTTAACAGGTACTGATTGTAAAGAAAATAACATGTTTGGTTTCCATCTTTATTGTGTCGGAGTCGGAATACGAATTTTCCGTTATAAAGGATTATAATTACGTTGAAAAAATTTGGTTCCAACCAATTCCCTGTCGTTATTTGAATTTGTCAGTATAATGGATTCCGATGTATTGAGTCCTGACTGTATATAGATCTTCAAAAAAAAAAAATCATCAGAATTATGAAAAATGTTATTGTATTTTAGGGAATGTCTTAATAAATTAAGAAAATTTGAAAATTTATTATCAGCAAACTCATCTAAAGAATTAATTGGTTTAGGCAAATATGTTTATTTTGCATCGTTTAATAGACAGAAATTAAATTCATTTTTAGCTCGACTTATCGAAGAATATGAGAGCTATTGTAGTCGCCCCGGCGTCGGCGTCCGCGTCCGCGTCTGCGTCTGCGTTGGTTAAAGTTTTTTGTAAAGTCAAATATCTCAATTATTACTTGAGATATTCAATTGAAACTTACAATACTTATTAATAGTAACAAGGTACATCAGATAGACAAGTTTGATAACTCTGCCTACAATATTGACAGAATTATGCCCCTTTTTAACTTAGAAATTTTGGTTAAAGTTTTTTGTAAAGTCAAATATCTCAATTATTGCTTGAGATATTCAATTGAAACTTACAATACTTATTTATAGTAACAAGGTACATCAGACTGACAAGTTGGATAACTCTGACTACAATATTGACAGAATTATGCCCCTTTTTAACTTAGAAATTTTGGTTAAAGTTTTTTGTAAAGTCAAATATCTCAATTATTGCTTCAGATATTCAATTGAAACTTACAATACTTATTAATAGTAACAAGGTACATCAGATAGACAAGTTTGATAACTCTGCCTACAATATTGACAGAATTATGCCCCTTTTTAACTTAGAAATTTTGGTTAAAGTTTTTTGTAAAGTCAAATATCTCAATTATTGCTTGAGATATTCAATTGAAACTTACAATACTTATTTATAGTAACAAGGTACATCAGATTGACAAGTTGGATAACTCTGACTACAATATTGACAGAATTATGCCCCTTTTTAACTTAGAAATTTTGGTTAAAGTTTTTTGTAAATTCAAATATCTCAATTATTGCTTGAGATATTCAATTGAAACTTACAATACTTATTTATAGTAACAAGGTACATCAGATTGACAAGTTGGATAACCCTGCCTACAATATTGACAGAATTTTGCCCCTTTGGAACTTAGAAATTTTGGTTAAAGGTTAAAGGTCATTACACATGCACTTAGGGTCATAATTGGAGGGTCATAATTGTATGTCACTGACCAAGTTCCATAACTCTATCTTGCATTAAGGCTGATTCATATCCCCTTTTCTACTTAGTCTCTTGGTTAATGTTTACATGCAAGTTTTACATATCTCAATAACTATTACAGATATTTATTTAAAACTTCACATATGCATTTAGGGTCATAATTGTAGGTCACTGACAAAGATCCATAATTCTATCTTGCATTTAGGCTGATTTTTCTCCCCTTTTTCAACTTAGAAATTCATTTGTAAGCTGTTATCTCAATAACTAATAAAGGGTTTGTGCCTTTTTTGGGACAATTTTATGCATTCATAATAATTAAGCAGTGATTTACTTGATAAAACATCTTAATAACAAGCCTTTGTACCTTTTCTGTCAAATTTATGTATTCATAGGTAATTAGTATTATTATACTCAATAAAACACCCTTGTGACATTACCTTCCGAATAGTCAAGCCAATACTGTTTAATTAGACTCTCTCTAAGGCCTATAACAAGAATTTATAAAAAAAATTAGCCCTTTTGTAAACTTAAAAAATTTAACATTATCAAGGCTCTTTTAATATCAAGCACTTAGAATAGTCGAGCGTGCTGTCCTACAGACAGCTCTTGTTATACTTCCCGTGCTAACCTTTTTGTACTTTTTATATTGGAACTTGTATCACTGTTTACATTATATATACTTTATGGCTATAATGTTGTTATAACATTTATGCAAATAAAATGTTGTTGTTGTTGTTGTAATAAATTGCAACCCAGGTGATTTTGACCTCAATATGTGCCAAATATGGTGAAATTAACAATTTTATCACCAAATTCTACTCCATTACAAATAAAACTAGAGTATTTCTGCAGATTTTGACTAATAATAGGTAATTTCTGTGGAGATGTAAAAGGTTTAATGTATTTATAGGTATGAGAGAGAAGAAACGTTTACAGCATTAAACCTCACTGTGAAGAATGCTACACTACAAGATTCATTAGACCAGTTTGTAAAAGGAGAATTGTTAGAGGGGGATAATGCATACTATTGTGAAAAATGTGGGGAAAAGGTGAAAAATATTGTTTATTTATTGTAAAATTTATGTGTTTAATATAACTGTATCATATTAATATACTGATGGACATTAATCCCACGAATGTTCCAGCTTCAGTACAAAGCTGGCTATATGTAACTGTCAGTATTTAAAGAATTGTTTTTGAGTGGCTCTATCCAATGTATATCTGCTAAGTTATTTCCATATTAAGTAAATTGGACGGGATAATGTTTTGTGTGTAAAAACACTTGTTTCATGCTTTGATAGTTTACAAGTTTGGTGTTATAAAAGAAGCCACTTTACTTCAAAGCCCTCAATGTTGAAACAATATCAGGGTGATTGGTATGCAGTCTGCAATCAGGTGAGTGATAAAAAAACCATCATGTCCCTCTTGTTGTAGTATAACAGGAAGTTTGAATTTACTTTTATTATTTCAGAGAAATACAATAAAGCGTATGCACATCAAATCATTACCACCAACATTGTGTATTCATTTGAAGAGATTTGGTTATGACTGGGAGGCAAATAGAGCTCTCAAGTTTGATGACTACTTCAAGGTATATTCAATACTTTGCAGTATTCCCTAAATATTTGAAGTAAATAATGTTAATGTACTTGATAGATTCTCTTTGTTATTAGTATGCAACAAGATCACCAGATTAATTTTGTTGGTCATGCAAATGTTTGATTATTATTAGATATGTAATTTAGTGTATTATTTAAATTTCACAACCTTGTTATAAATTTGTTAAACACCTGTTGAACAGGAAGTTGCGTTTATATAAACAAGTATCACTATGATTTGTCATTTTTAGCTTAATATACTAAATAACTTCAGTCAGATATTGCTACATTACTTTCATCAACAGTAGTTGAAGTAATTTTTGTCCCTGTCTGAGCGATGAAATTCTTGTGAGTGAAATAAGGTCACCATAATTGGTAAAGTTTTTATTCTTTGTACGAAGCTTTTGTTGGGCAATATTATTTATTCAGCTTGAATGAAATCACCCTGTATTACAGTTTCCCTGGGTGTTAGACATGGAACCATATACTGCTGAAGGTATGGCAAGACGAGATGCTGAGACAAATAAAGAAACTGAGGAGCCGGAACAACAGGTGATTGATTCCCGGTCCGGGGAAACCCCACCTATGGAAATAACACTCAGCGTGACGCCGGAGAACAAACAGATAAACTACGAGTTAGTAGGGGTGGTTGTACACAGTGGACAAGCTAATGCCGGCCATTACTACTCTTTTATTAAAGAAAGAAGGTCAGTTTTCAATTGATTGTAATACTAAGAAAAATTTTCATTGAACAAATTAAAACTGCCAGAGGAATTTGTTCATGACTGATTTAGTTTATTTATGGTTTGGATAGAGCTGGAATTATTTAAGATTTATTTGATGGCGATGTACATACATGTATAATCACTGGGGCCTACATGGGCTCAATTGTTCAGGTCAGTTACTTGAACTACTCTGGGCTTGATTCCTGCCAAGACCATTTGATTTTGTCATGTTAGGAAGCTATCCAGCTAGCTTAGGAATAGCAGTAGGCCTACAGGTGCTATAATACCTGAAATAATGCACATACATATACATCACAGCAGTCTTTAGTAAAGCTGCAAACTCACCATATAACCTTAACAGTGTTGTTAAAAAACATGAAAAAGAAAGTATAGAGTCCTGATGTTTTGGAATTGATTATGATGAAGTGCATCAAAGGTGAAATACTCTCTTATACCAAAGAAGTAGAAACACAGTTTGTTATTAGTTATTCAGATTTTGGTATGTTATATGATCCAGTATTTATGGTTGCAGATTTGAACAATTTCAATATATATATATTTCAGGGGTACCGTGTTAAACAACAGTAACAAGGGAAAATGGTTCAAGTTTAATGACACGATTGTTGAAGAGTTTGAGATGGGGGATGCCGCAGTGGAAGCGGAATGTTTTGGTGGAACATATAAAGCCAAAGTTTATGAGCAGTGTAAGTATTCATATTCAAGGCAGCAGGAGTCTGCCATTCAACTTGGACATTGTGGGTTTGAGTCACTGCCATTTGATTACATTTTTTGTAGCACCAGTTCAGATTAGTGATAGAAGCAGACTTCCAATAATTTAAACCATCCTTAAGTTGTTGGCTACAAAGGAATCTATCTTGCGACCAATGCAGACTAAGATCTGACCCACCTTGTTTGATCATAGTCTGCACTGTTGGCAGTTCAGTGAGTACTTAATTTGGGAATTTTCCCTGTAAATGATAAATTGTCTTATCATGTAAGATGGAAAAGTCCAGAATTGATATTTATCTGGGTAAGGTTTAAACTTACTTTAAAATACATTCGACATACAGACATTAAAGTTTTGTACTTCCCCTCCGTGGTCGAGGGGTTAGAGTCAATGACTTCTAATCCAGTTACCTCTCTGGCGTGGGTTCGATCCCCAGAAGATGCTTTGGTAGTTTAGCGCGGAGGAAGGTAGTCTAGTACTGGTGTTACTCTCCAGGAAGGATGGTTAGGAAACTACCCGCCTATATGACTGAAATACTGTTGGGAAAAGGCGTAAAATGAAACAAACAAAACAAACTTCCAGTCAGTATTTCCTCTTACATGTAACTTTGTAGAAAATTGGAAATGATTACTTTTGACTTATTTGTTTATTTTAGCAAATTCATACCCTGAGGACCGGTTACGTTACTGGAATGGTTATATGTTGTTTTATGAAAGAATGGAGGAGAGTATGACCCCATTGTCAGCAAAGAAAACAAAAATAGTCACGAGAAAACTGTGGCCAGATGGTGTACCGTGAGTAGTAAAGATTGATGAAATTTATTGAAATAGTGATGACATTTACTTTTAGTGATGGCACTTACTTTTTTGTCAGCAAATTCTACCCTGTTTCTGAATGAAACAAAAGAATTTCTGCTTATTTTTACCTGAAATGGAAATAAGTTTTCAGATTTATTTCTTCCAAATGTATTAGTTTTTCATACCATGGATAAAAAGATTGTTATAGCTCTCTTAATAAATTTGAATTATACGTTTTTAGGATATTGGACCTTAGTTAAGTTCCTTTAAAGTACATGTGGCCATCAAATTTTAAGTCATTTATTTATGAAAAAAGAAACATTAAGGTGATTTATGCAAAGGATCATGTTTTCTGATAATCATGTTATTACTGACCACAGAATAAAAGCTTGGACTACCAAATAGGCTAAGAATGAGAATACATTCATATGACACTATTTAGAGACAAATTAATTATATTTTTCTTTGATACTTAAGCCATGTGGTTGAGGTAGTTAACTTCAAACCACTTGCCCCTCACAGCGGTGGGTTTGAGTACTTGGAGGGACTTTGGATTTTTTCATGTGAGGTAGTTTAGTATAATCCAGGTAGCTTACACAATGTCGATGGTTCTACTCAGGTGCCAGTTCTTACCTGAAATAATGCATAGAGGGTGTGCTTGAGGTCTCTTTCCACCATTAAAACTTGAAAGTCACCATATGACTGACTTATACTGTGCAGTACAACCTAAAGCCCAATCCAAAAAAAAAATGTTTTATACTTGTAGGCGAGGTAGCAGTCAACGGGACAGTTTTGTAGAACTGACAGAGCTGGTACATAAAGGTGAAAGAAAGGGCATGTTTATGGATAAGATGCCTGCAAGTATACAGCGGTTTATACACAGTGAAAACCTCACTTTCATCAAAAATAGGGATGTCTTTAATGAGGAGTACTTTAGATTTGTGAAAAACTTGGTTGCTGAAAATTCTGTAAGTTTATTTAGATTTTATTTACAATATTTCATCATAGCCTGCAATGTTCAAATTCCAGGAAATTTTCTGATCGTTTGTTCTGAAGGGAAGTATTGGTTATAAGATGAAGGTTGGCTAATAGCTAGGCACACAGGCTTAAACATTTGTGTGTTATGTTCATTATAGAATGATAGATTGAATCCTGTTTTGTTCTGTTCAATATAGAATAACAGAAGAAATCCTGTTTTGTTCTGTTCAATATAGAATAACAGAAGAAATCCTGTTTTGTTCTGTTAAATATAGAATAACAGAAGAAATCCTGTTTTGTTCTGTTCAATATAGAATAACAGAAGAAATCCTGTTTTGTTCTGTTCAATATAGAATAACAGAAGAAATCCTGTTTTGTTTTGTTAAATATAGAATAACAGAAGGAATCCTGTTTTGTTTTGTTAAATATAGAATAACAGAAGAAATCCTGTTTTGTTCTTTTCAAAGTTTAGTAACCAGATAAGTCTTGTCCTGTTCTGCATGTATATAAGAATAGATAGTGTTTTACGTTGTTCAATATGAGATAAGAAAGTAATATACAGAATTTTTCTATCAAAATTGTATGTGTATAAAGAAGTACCTGAACTTTTGAACTTTGTTCAGTCAAAGTTCAATTAAAAAATTCAGTGGTAAATTGAGGTAATAGTGTTAATAATTATGATTTTTTTTCTGTATTGTAGAATCATATGAAACATGAAGACTATAGCAACATGTGTATGGTTGGATTAAGATTGGCTGTGAAATTCCTTTTCAATACATACTTTAGAACTAAAAAGAAAACAAAGTAAGTAATGGCCTTATTATGATGATGAGTGGAATGTTTTAGGTTCTCAGTTCATTACAAAATTGTATTATACATGTATAAAATAATCAAACATTTTA